AATGAATTTGTTCCGAAGTACTATAGCGTTGCACCTAACTTGTATATGATTTGCAAATTCTAACATAAACTGTATTGCGGCACTCTAACACCAAGAAGTCTTATGTAGTTTGGCCGCAGCAATAGAGGATCATCCGCCTTATAGACAAGCTATAAGCATGCTATAGGATATCTATTGAAACAACAGGGGGGGCGATCATTGCAGCAGAGGGGCCCAAAGCGGCCTCCGGCACCGTTTCCGGACAGATCATGGATCCGCTGGATCCGGTGACGAATCCCAACCCGGCGCCCTCGCTTGAGACATCCTCACAAAACCGGCCCCGGGGGAGGTGCCCAGAGGAGCCCAGAGCGGCCTCCGGCACCGTTTCCGGACAGATCCGCTGGATCCGCTGGATCCGGTGACGAATCCCAAACCGGCGCCCTCGCTTGAGACATCCTCACAAAACCGGCCCCGGGGGAGGTGCCCAGAGGAGCCCAGAGCGGCCTCCGGCACCGTTTCCGGACAGATCCGCTGGATCCGCTGGATCCGGTGACGAATCCCAAACCGGCGCCCTCGCTTGAGACATCCTCACAAAACCGGCCCCGGGGGAGGTGCCCAGAGGAGCCCAGAGCGGCATCCGGCACCGTTTCCGGACAGATCCGGACAGATCCGGTGGATCCGCGCCCCGGGGGAGGTGCCCAGAGGAGGAATGAGGAGGAGGAGGAGGAGGAGGAGGAGGAGGAGGAGGAGAAGATGATGGAGCTGCGGGGTGGAGGAGGACAGACGGAGGCAAGAGAAGGATGGAGGAGGAGGAGGAGGAGGAGGAGGAGGAGGAGGAGGAGGAGGAACCTCATCACCCTCGCCAACAAGCGCACGCACCTCCTTCTATGTACAGAAACTCCCGATCAACCGCAGAGCGGCCGGCTAGTATCGGCGGGGACAAGGCCCTGAAAGGCCAGGGGCCTTCGTAGAATACCTCAGGCGCGCTCTTCGAGGGCAAGCGGGACCATCTTAGAAGACAAGCCCTGTCAAACAACACTACCCCTATTAATGCACCCCCATTTGGGGCTCCTCTGTTCCAGAGAGACAAGCGGTTGAGTGTATCCGAGACCGTCGAACACCTCGGCGCGATGAGCAATGAGACGTTGGCGATGCATGCCGAGCTGACGCGGCGGCTTCAACTTCGAGCGCGCACGACACTAGAATATGCCCTGCGAATCGGCTACAAGACCGCGGGGCACTGGGTGAAGTTTCCTGAAGTCCCTTCGGCACTCTCGAGTCCTGAGCCTAACTTCCAAATCTTTGAGGGCTTCTCGCGTTACTTTCGGCGGGTCCCGCTCGACTTTCTCCGAAACAAGAGAGCCCCAGGCGGCTCGAACGTGGGACATCTAACGGGCCTCAAAAGACTTCACACCCCAAGATGCTCGCCAGTACCCCCGACATGCCCCCAAGAAGACCCACATGCCCACATGACGCCCTGAAATCCCCCTTGCACATCATGCCTCGGAGCCGGCCTCCACAAAGCAATCCTCGTAACAAGGCTCGTGGGCATCCTGTTCGGACATGCCACGTGCACGTCGGACATATCCGGCAAGGATCGGCCAAATACGTAGGGATGGATAGAAGCGTAGGCTTGATGAAGCCGCGCATCCTTGCTAAGCGCTTCGATTGTAAGGAGCTTCGAACGTTGGTTGAAGAGGCCTCATGGTCATGGCGAACCGCGAACATCAACGAGCACCTGTCTTTTACCCAATAACGTTTTGACTGATTGTGCCTTGAGTGGTGCCCCACTCCCGCGTCGCTTCGATGGGGCTCGACCCGCTGGCAATCCGCCTGAGACCCTCGCTGTTTGCGTCACCGTGACACTGTCCGAACAACTCTCCCGCCTGGTGGAGGAAAAGGAGGAGGAAGAAGAACACTATGGAGGATGAAGAGAAGGAGGAGGAGGAGGAGGAGGAGGAGGAGGAGGAGGAGGAGGAGGAGGAGGAGGAGATTGTGGTCGGACGAAGATGAGGATGGAGGAGGAGGAGAAACAGGAGGAGGACGAGCAAGCGGAGGAGGGAGGAGAAGGAAGCGGAGGGAAGACACCGTCTGAACAGTCCTCCCCGCAACACAACACGTATGCCTTGGTGGAAAAAGTCCCAAAAGAGACGGCGGCGGCCCTCCCGCCTTGCCCAGTCCGCGTAAGCCCGATCCATGGACCCCTCCCACAGTGAAATGTGTCCAGGCTGTTGAGCTCCGTTCAGCCGTGGCGACGAGGGCACCCCCGAGGGCGAAACAGCGGCCGATGTCTCAACAGGCCCTCCGCTGAGGGGCGACCTCGCCATGCCCTGCCAAGCTGTGGTGCTCAGACTTGCAGCCTGATGCGTTAAAGAACTCCGCTCCAGCCTCTCGGGCTCGGGCGACACATGTTCGCATCCAGAAGCTACCTGTGGCCCTGCTCGGGCGCCGATGGGCTGTCAAAAGGGCCCCCGTGGGCCACGTGCCGGCGATCTTGGGGTGTCTGGTTCTCTCTTGCGTAGTCTTCGGGCCCTCTGGGGCGATCGTCGGCTCCTCCAGGGTTTCCTCACGGGCGGCCAAAACGACTTCCGCCGATGCCAATCGGTGGTCAGCTAACCCGTTAAGGTGCCGCTGCCCCCCAGAAGCCACTCTCTGCCAGAGGCGCGGGATGGACGGCGGGAGTGTTTCCTTAAGTCGGAGGTTGTCGTATGAAGCTGGGGTGTGCGGTGCTTGAACGCCCACTGGCGCCTCTTGAGTATCACGACGTCGGACCGCCCTTGCAAATGACTTCTGGCGCGGGCGACTAAATAGCAAACAACTATCCGCTAACCTTGTTGGGTCAGACCCCACTCCTCACCCCACTCGATCATTGGATTTGTGCTTGGCTTGCTCTTTGCGTGCCGCCGTCGAACTTTGCCCATGCCTCCGAAGCTCTGGGAGAATTGTTTCCTCCCTTGCTCGGTAAGAACTCCTTCGCTCCTCCCTTCATCGGCGTCCTTCCAAGATGAACCTGTGCCATGCTCCAAGCCTGTGACTCCGCTGTGTGCTACCCACTCGAGCATCCCGGCTGCCCGCCCACTGTCTATAGACGAGTGCGCAACGGCGGAGCGAAAAGCCGCCCCTCCTCCTCCTCCTCCTCCTCCTCCTCCTCCTCTTCCTCCTCTCCTCCCCGCTCCTCCTCGTCCTCCTCCTCCTCCTCCTCCCCCCTCTCCTCCTCTCTTCCTTCTGTGCTGCTGCCTGCTGTTCCTCTCCTCCTCCTCCCGCCTCCTCCTCCGTTGCTGTGCAGCTCCTCCTCCCCCCTACACCGCCCCTTCCTCCTCCTCCACCTTCTCCTTCTTTTCCTGTTCTTCTCCTCCTGCCTCCTCCCTCTTCCTCCCTCTTCCTTCCTCCTCTTCTTTTCCTCCCCTCCTCCTCCTTCTCCCTCCTCTCTCCTCCTGCTCCGCCTCCTCCTCTGCCCTCCCCTCCTCCTTCCTCCTCCTCCTCCTCCTCCTCCTCTTCCTCAATCTCGGCCCTGGGACTCAACCTCCGCCTCCTCGTCCTACTCCTCAGCCTCTCCTCCTACTCCTTTGTCCCCGTTCTCCCTACAGCCCCCCTCCGCCTCTTCAGCATCCTCCTTCCGCGTACTTACTCTCCTCCTCCTTCTCCTCCTCCTCTCCTCCTCCTCCTCCTCCTCCTCCTCCTCCTCCTCCTCCCCCTCCCTCCTCACTTCTCCCTTCTCCGTCCGCCTCCCTCCTCTATTCTCCCTCCTGCCTCACCCTTCCCACCCCCTTTGCTGGTCGCGGGTCTGTCGCTCCCACTGGCACTGCGGGGGTCACCTGTGCATTGGGTCAACCCTCGCCTGGCCGAAACAGGCGAAGGCGTAGCTTGCTTTGCGCCCCCCCCCGGTCTGCGGGCGCTGGCCCGCCTGAGGCAAGGTGCGGGGAAGGACAGGGGAGGGGGATCTCGGACATGGCCCGGGCCCCGTGCCGTGTTCACTCGCCGACCCCTCACCGCAGCGCTCCTGCGAGCAACACCGCCTGTGCTTGGGCGCGGCGCATCGCCACGGCCCGCTACGCAACATGCGCAGGAGGGCGGGCCCCGTGCCGTGTTCACTCGCCGACCCCTCACCGCAGCGCTCCTGCGAGCAACACCGCCTGTGCTTGGGCGCGGCGCATCGCCACGGCCCGCTACGCAACATGCGCAGGAGGGCGACCACTGCTGGCATTCTTCATCTCCTGTTCCTCCTCCATCTCCTCTTATTGCTCCGCCTCGTCCTTCTCGCCCTCCTCCTCCTCCTCCTCCTCCTCCTACTACTACTACTACGACTACTACTACTACTACTACTACTACTACTACTACTACTACTACTACTACTACTA